TGCTGTACGTTTGACCTGGTGTTATATTGCTTTACCTGTTGTACGTGTTTTTTCTTTATGTTTTGTTTGGAATGTATTTTGTCCCATTATGTATCCTGTTATGCCTGTTTTGTTTTATGTTTTGTGATGTTACTGTGATTGCTAGTTTGCCATTATGTTATGTTTTGTGCCTTTATGTATGCTGTATTTTTCTTTGCATATATCGTGTTTGTGTTTTGTTGTGCTATGCTGTCAGCCCTTCTGGCCGGTGGTCTATTGTTTTATTTTGTTCTGTTATGTATTCTGTATTGTTTTTATTGTATTTAACTTTATTTTTTTTTTAAAAAAAAAGCATAAAGAAAACTATAGACCTCCAAGTTCCCGAGGACATCAGCCGTGACGCAACATTAGCGAAAGCCAAATTGAGAAGGAAAGAGGTGACGATAGCATTCAAAGAATAATCTCCGACATACATTGACCATACGTTCAAATAGTTTGCGGACGAAATTCGAAATTAGGGGACGACCCCTAGAGCCCAGTTTTCGAATAGGAAGAACAGCCTGAAGCCAGTCCTCGGGGGACAAACGACGACTCTTATACATGGTTATAAATATTCAGCAAGTACTGATAATTTCATGGATGGAGGTGGCGAAGCCTTTTCGAATGAATGAATAGCCAGCCAGCCAGCCAGAAGGGAAAGGATCGTTATAGGGAAGCCGAATGTGCGCGCGAAAGTCTAAGGGACAAGATTAGAGAATGGGCTTACGAGTAATGAGAGTCAGGTCAATAATATAATGTCAGGCGGCTTGATATCCGAGTGGACAGCACTTCTGATTCTTAGTCCAGAGGTTTCGGGTTCGGTCCCCGGTGGAGGCGGAAACAAATGGACAGTTTTTCCATCATGATGCCCCCTGTTACCTAGTAGTAAATAGGTACCTGGGAGTTACAGTCGCTACGGGCTGCTTCCTGCGGGTAACAAAAAGGAGTCTAGGTCGAGATCCGGGCCGCGGGGACGCTAAGCCCCGAAATCACCTGTTGATAATGAAAGGAGGAAAATGAGAACCCTAGCCATCAGTCTAAAAGTGGTGAAAGACTGGCGAGACAACTGGAACAACTTGCCCACTATCTTACAGAGTTTCTTCCAGGACAAGGGCAAAATGCGTTCAAAAGGAATTACCGGAAAAATAGGCAGATGGATCTACAATTTCCTGACCAACAGAACCCAATGTGTAATAGTCGACAAAATAAAATCCAGCCCATCAACCGTGAAGAGCTCAGTCCCCCAGGGTACTGTGCTTGCTCCAGTACTTTCTCCTCCTCATATCGGACATAAACAAGAACACAACCAATCATCCTTTGCAGATGACACTAGGATCTTCCCGAGAGTAGGCAACCGAGCACACGGTAAACCTCCAGTCAGATGTAGATCAGGTCTTTCTATGGGCTACAGAAAATAATATGGTGTTTATCGAAGATAGGTTCCAGTTCATACGCTATGGAAAAAATGAAGATATAAAAACGGAAACCACGTACAAAACTCGGGCAAATCAAAACATAGAACGAAAAGGCAATGTAAAGGATCTGGGTGTACTCATGTCTGAAGACCTTACCTTTAAAGAACACAAAGTAGCCGTCACAACTGCAAGAAAAATAACAGGTTGGACAACAAGAACTTTTCACACTAGAGATGCTATACCGATGATACTTTTCAAAACGCTTGTGCTCTCTAGAGAGAAGTACTGCTACACAATGACAGCCCCTTTCAAAGCTGGAGAAATTGCTGAACTGGAGCGTGCAGAGATCCTTTACTGCTAGAATCCACTCGGTAAAACATCTAAACTATTGAGACCGACTAAAGAGCCTAAATCTGTACTCCCTTGAGCGCAGGCGGGAGATGCACAATAATTTACACATGGAAAATATTGGAGGGGCTGGTCCCAAACCTGCACACAGAAATAACATCACACGAGACCAGAAGACATGGCAGGATGTGCAGAATACCCCCGTTGAAAAGCAGAGGTGCAACAGGTACTCTGAGAGAGAACTCTATCAACATCAGAGGCCCGAGACTGTTCAACACGCTTCCGCTACACATAAGGGGCATAACTGGCAATCCCCTCACAGTGTTCAAGAGAACTGGATAAGCACCTCCAAAGGATACCTGATCAACCAGGCTGTGACTCATACGTCAGGCTGCGAGCAGCCGCGTCAAATAGCCTGGTTGATAAGTCCAGCAACCAGGAGGTCTGGTCGACGACCGGGCCGCGGGGACGCTAAGCCCCGGAAGCACCTCAAGGTAAGGAGGAGTGTCAGTGGGAATGGTGCAGACATTTCCAACTCTCAAGCTTAGCTATATGGATGGCACTATTGGCCACACACACACACACACACACACACACACACACACACACACACACACACACAGAGACAAAATTAGACTAATCAGGCGTCTGTTTCTTCTAGGCTGCACAATTTGAAGAAACTACACTGGAAGAAGCTATTTACTGCACATT